ATTCTAGTTAACATGGACAGTGGGTTATGTGCCATGCGTGATACACGCTTAGGCGATCATGTATGTTTCGAGGGAGATTTTTTCCCGCGTTAAGTTAGGTGATCATGTATCTTGCAATACATGACTGACGAGGCAGATTTGTTCCCGCAATACGTTGCCATTTCTTTCTGTAGTAGACCAGATGCCATCCAAGGCTATAGAACCTGGACTGTCATAATATTTACCAATAGATGTGGGGAGAAGAAGAAGAAGATTCATATCTTTCGCCAGGGTATTAGCACGTAAGTGAATTTAATGGCTTCGACTGGAATTCGAACTCGGCTCTCCGATTCCTCAATCTAAGCCGCAACTAGTAATCAGTCAGTTATGTGCCATGCGTGATACACACTTAGGTGATCATGTATCTTTCGATACAAGACTGACGAGGCAGATTTGTTCCCGCAGTAGGTTGCCATTGCTTTCTGCAATAGACCAGTTGCCATCCAAGGCTATAGAACCCGGCCTGTCTTGCTATTTACCCATAGCTGGAGAGGGGGAAGAAGAGGAGTCATATCTTTTCCCATGGATCTAATAGATTTACATATTTTAAAATTTAGTAAATGTTTATCAATTTGTGAATAAAAACAGTTTCCACATTTATTCCGGTATAAATATTGAATTGCATTAGTTTTTAATTGTACAGTGTAACCCGGATATAAGAGACACCCGGATATAAAAGAAACCCGGATATAAGAGAGATTTTCTCTGGTTCCAAATTGTTCCCATACTTACCTAAAAAAAATAGACCAAACCTGGATATAAGAGAAACCCGGATATAAGAGAGATTTTCTCTGGGCCCAAATTGTTCGCATACTTACCTAAACAAAATAGACCAAACCCGGATATAAGAGAAACCCGGATATAAGAGATTTTCTATGGGCCCAAATTGTTCTCATACTTACCTAAACAAAATAGACCAAACCCGGATATAAGAGAAACCCGGATATAAGAGATATTTTCTCTGGTCCCAAATTGTTCCCATACTTACCTAAACAAAATAGACCAAACCCGGATATAAGAGAAACCCGGATATAAGAGAGATTTTCTCTGGTCCCAAATTGTTGCCATACTAACCTAAACAAAATAGACCAAACCCGAATATAAGAGAAACCCGGATATAAGAGAGATTTTATCTGGGCCCAAATTGTTCTCATACTTACCTAAACAAAATAGACCAAACCCGGATATAAGAGAAACCTGGATATAAGAGAGATTTTCTCTGGTCCCAAATTGTTCCCATACTTACCTAAACAAAATAGACCAAACCCGGATATAAGAGAAACCCGGATATAAGATAGATTTTCTCTGGTCCCAAATTGTTCCCATACTTACCTAAACAAAATAGACCAAACCCGGATATAAGAGAAACCCGGATATAAGAGAGATTTTATCTGGGCCCAAATTGTTCTCATACTTACCTAAACAAAATAGACCAAACCCGAATATAAGAGAAACCCGGATATAAGAGAGATTTTCTCTGGTCCCAAATTGTTCCCATACTTACCTAAAAAAAATAGACCAAACCTGGATATAAGAGAAACCCGGATATAAGAGAGATTTTCTCTGGGCCCAAATTGTTCTCATACTTAACTAAACAAAATAGACCAAACCCGGATATAAGAGAAACCCGGATATAAGAGAGATTTTCTCTGGGCCCAAATTGTTCTCATACTTACCTAAACAAAATAGACCAAACCCGGATATAAGAGAAACCCGGATATAAGAGACTTCTTCTCGGGTCTCGACAACTCTCTTATATCCGGGTTACACTGTATTAGTTTTTAGAATGTTATAAATATAAAATTATTCTTGTAAATGAACAATCTAATAAATAAATACTATTTTATATTTTTGCTGTAAATTCTCAAGAATACACAAATGTATAAATTCCCTTTTACAATCTGTTTAGGTTATATTTCACTTTTTAATCATCACATTTTAAAACGATAAATATTTCCGAGGTGTAGTTAAAATAAAAGCGATGTCACGGGAAACACTGTGATTTTAACGTTGTGTCTTATTGTCCATGTTTGCTCCCATTCTTATATAAATCCGCTTATATATAAAAAAAACAAAACTCTTGCATATTATTCGAACTCTTATGTGCCTAAAAAAAAAGCTATTCATAATACATTATAACAAAACTATTAAATGGATTTGTAGAGGACCGGGGGTGCTAGAAAAAGGTCCAGCGACAAGAAAATGGCGGTCTCAAACAAGACAAACAAGACCCATATATATATATATATATATATATATATATATATATATATATATATATATATAATAAAAGGCTTAAACACTAATACTCCATGGTCATAATTTATTCCATTGGAATCGTAAATACAATCCAACTCATCAGACCTACAAATACAAAATGAATTTTGAATTTGAAGGTCTGATGGAATAAAGTATGACCATGGAGTATTAGTGCTTAAGCCTTTTTATTATATCCTTACTCTGTCCTGGACATTGAGTTCTACCTGGATTTTTCCTCTTGGAAATTTTGTTCTGAAAATATACATGTATGGGTATTTATATATTTTGCATATGTATGTATATTTTCCACTAATATTATCTCTCTCTCTCTCTCTCTCTCTCTCTCTCTAGAGAGATATATATGTATTGACAACAAATTACAAAGCACATAGTTAACATTGTGTTTGTGTGTGGACATTTGTGTTTGTTCTTTGGTGAATGTTCGTATTTTGGTGAATGTTCGTACGTAAGTGTATGTTTGTAATGTTCATAGCGTCTTCCCAGAGATGGGAAACGCTGTCTTTTGTGAGAGCTCACATAGTAGCGGTGTTCGCTGAAATGAAGAAAGAATATAAAGAATTACTTCACCTCCACGCGAGGTGGGATTCGGCACAAGGCCTGAAGGAAAAAAAAGATCGAGGCAAGACGTCACCCAGTATTTATAGTATGGGAGGAGAACCCCTTAGTGACAATTTGGGAATTAAGGAGAAGGTAACTCCGACAGCATTAAATATACATAACACAACATATGCTTAGACAATTAACTACAATATATTATAACTTTTTTTATAAACAAATATCTCGGATATTTCGGAAGTAGTTGATAGGAAAAGAGACTAGGTGTTTCATTGTAAACCGTAACCTGTATAGCTGGAAATTTGTGTCATATGACTTTATGGTAAAAAAAATTTAAATAGATCCTTGCTGCTTTGATGCTGTTACGTATTTTGAAATAAATTCAAGTATTTATAATAAATAAAAATATAGTTATTTTGAAAAAAATAATCGAGAAAATTTGAAACTGCCTGCACAAAAAGGAGACACCCATACGTTATTTTATTTCATTAAATATGAATCTCTCTAAGCAGGTGATTGCGGTTTATTTTTCTTAACCTTTGAACAATATCATATGGTAAATACTAAAATTAGTATAAATTGTCACTCTGGGGTTAATATTACTTAAATTGAAAGGTCTTTAGTTTGATATTAGTTTGCAATTCCTAAAAAGTAAACATTTCCTACAATGTTTTTCTTAATGGAATGTTTCAAATTAAAACTTGGTTATATAGTTCTGGAACAATGTCATTCTGGTTTTGTTAATCTATATTTCGTTCTCAGACTGTTGTTTGAAAATATAACCTCTATCTTTGAATTTCCGACTGAATTTCATTAAGAAAATAATCTAAAGCGGCGAATCTTTTCGCAAAGTCTGAAAACCATTCCATTCATTATTGCGATTAACCTAAAGAATATTGTATAACGTGAATAATAATAATTATTACAATAACATGTATTGCAAATACAAATTAAAATAACGGTAATTGATACAATTCATAATAGTGTTACTTCATCATTTTGTATCAGGAACTACTCTTAAATGGAACCCAACAGGTTTTATGCGTGTTCTAGAATGACACAAACCTCCCCTCAAAACGGCTATAAAATAAGCGCATTCTGGCATGTGATTATTTCTGCTGTGTAGCCTTTAGAACAATTTAAAATATTACCATTCCCGCCTATCCAGTAACCGTTAGAATAGCATAATAAACCGGAAATACCTGAGCTTACTACCCATAATGCCCCATTGACCAGCATATATAAATAAAAAAGCTACCACTCAACACATAAAGATTGCCTTCAAGCATGAGACAGACTGTCGCCACTCAATTTTGATCTAAGTGTCTACGTTTAAAATTACACATTATCTCTCATTAACACTTTTGCACATAAATATGGCATACCATATATATATATATATATATATATATATATATATATATATATATATATATATGTATTTATTTCTTTATTTATTTATGTTTGTGTGTGTTGGAATAAACCAACTAAAAGGTAAAGAAAGTTCAAGAACAACCGAACATATACAAAGAATGAAAGATGATTACAAGACTGGCAGGAATTCTTCCAGTGGAAATTTTTACAAACCAATATTTCTTTTACTTTTTATTTTTATTTAGTCGTCCGATGTATAACGTTAATCTTAGTAATTACTTTTAGAAAAAGAAGAAGAAGAAGAAGAAGAAGAAGAAGAGATTAAGGAGAGGAAAAGGGATAAAGAAAATGTAGAGAAAAAAAAGAAAATGAAGAAGAGAAGATGAAATTATTGAATGAGGGAAAGAAAGCGATAAAGGAAAGGACGAGAATGAAAGAAGAAAATGAAGAAGAGAAGAAATTATTGAAGGAGAAAAAGAAAGGGATAAAAGAAACGAAAGAAGAAAATGAAGAAGAGAAGGAGAAAATAAGAGGGAGAGAGAAAAAGGGATAAAAGGAGAGGAAGAGGATGAAAGAAGAAAACGTAAATTGAAGAATAATCAAAATGAAAGAAAAAAGAGAAAAAAAAAAGGGTAAGACAGGGAAAATGAAGAATTGGTTAGGAAAAAGAAGAAAATTAAGGAAAGGAAAGGAACAGAACGAAAAATGAAAATGAAGATGAGAATAAATTTAGAAGGGGAGAGAGAAAGGAATTAAAGAAAAGAGGAGAGAAAAAAGGAAAAAAAATGAAGAAGATTAAAATTATTGGTCATGACCAAAGAGAAGAAACTTAAGGAACAGAAAATTAGGGAAAGAATAGAAAACGAAAAGTAAACAAATTTAAAGATAAAAATCTGGTGAAAGAGAAATGAAGAACAAATATGAAATGAATATAAAAAAGAAGAGAAAAATGAAGAAAAAAGAGAAAGCGGAAGAGGATCAGATAATTGAAGAAAAAAATAAATAACATAAAAGAAGGAAATGAAGAAGAAAACGATAATGCAGACGATATCAAAGGTGCAGAAGAGGTGCATCAAGATAAGAAGTAGAAGTAGAAGGCTGCAAAAAAGAGATGAAGGAAGAATGAGAAAGTCAAGGAGGTGAGAGAAAGACAAGAAGAAGAAGAAGAAGAAGAAGAAGATGAAGAAGAAGAAAAGGAAAAAGAAAATGATGCAAAACCTGGGAAAGACGAAGGATAAGTAAGGTGAGAGAGTCGAAGAAAAAGTCGAGGAAGAAAATTTAAATGAAAAAGAAAGAAGGAAAAGACAAAGTATAACGAAAACAAACGATGAAGCAAGAAAAAAATAAAAAGAGGAAATAATTCGCAAACAAAAAGAAAGAAAGAAGAAGAAGAAGAAGAAGAAGAAGAATATAATGATGCAAGACATGGGAAAGGCGAAGAAGTAAGGTGAGAGAAAAGAAGAAGAAGAAGAAGAAGAAGAAGAAGAAGAAGAAAATGATGCAAGACATGGGAAAGGTGAAGAAGTAAGCTGAGAGAAAAGAAGACGAAGAAGAAGAAAATGATGCAAGACATAGGAAAGGCGAAGAAGTAAGGTGAGAGAAAAGAAGAAGAAGACGAAGAAGAAGAAGAAGAAGAAGAAGAAGAAGAAGAAAATGATGCAAGACATGGGAAAGGCGAAGAAGTAAGGCGAGAGAAAAGAAGAAGAAGAAGAAGAAGAAGAAGAAGAAGAAGAAGAAGAAAATGATGCAAGACATGGGAAAGGCGAAGAAGTAAGGCGAGAGAAAAGAAGAAGAAGAAGAAGAAGAAGAAGAAGAAGAAGATATGAGAAAAAGAAAAATAATGGCGAAAAACAAGTTCAAAAGAAAAAAAAGATTTTGGTGGAACCCAGAGGAGAGGGAGAGAGAAGGAGGAAGAGAAGAGAGAAGAAAAAAGATAGCTAGAGACTGTGATAGGTAAAGTGAGAGCAACAAGGAGAGAGAGAAATGGGGAATAGAGAGTGAAACAGCCTTGATAATCCTTTTAAAATAGGGGCAAAGTTTAAAACTGGGCAAGAAGAATGCAGAAAGACAAGTATATAATAAGGAATCAGAGGAAACGACAGGTAGGAGGGAACCGGCTGGTCCCAAATTCTGGCGCCACGAAGCGCATTCCCGCGTTGCTTCCGCCACCCCACATACTAAACAACTCCAGCCTTCATTTAGTAGGGGTTTCTCTTTTTCTTCTTTTTTTTTTTTTTCGTCCTTCATCCACTCGCAGCGGATTTGTTTTCTGTGGGAAAGTTAGAATATGTTTTATCGGCGACAGAATTCTTTGCTACCATCTGTAGGAAATGGCTTCATTGGTTTCTTGTGGCATCTCTCTCTCTCTCTCTCTCTCTCTCTCTCTCTCTCTCTCTGCGCACACTCGCGCGCGCGCGTGTGTGTGTGTATGAAAGAGGGTGGTAATCGTACCCGTGTTTTAAAACGGCCTGCAATCAAGTACATACGAGACTAGATCCCCAATGATCTTCGGAGAAAACTGGAAAGAAACAAAGGAACAAGGAAAACAATACATAGTCATAAGTTACATCTGGAGTGTCATATTAAATACAGAAAGGCGCCTCGCCGTCGGGTAATGGTTAACAAAATGACTTAGCATACCATTACTCTTGCACAGTGTGACTTCAGTCCTCACTGTATAATCCACACCTTAAACAAGATTATGCCAAGCTATATAAATGGCGTTAGAGTGAACACTAGAATGTGAAGATAGTTTAACTGCTAGCTTTCCAAGAACAAGAAATCGGCGATTCTTTTACGACTTCCGACCGAGTTCGATGCATAAAATTTCAGGCAAATACCAATGAGAAATTCATTACTTTTCCCGAAACTAGTTTAACTAGTAAGAAAGTGTCTAGGAGAAGAAAGATGCCGGAATAACCCCACTCTGTAATCCTGAAGAAGCACATGCAGTAAAAAGCATAAAAAAGAATTCACAATTAACCTTGGTACGGCAGACATCCATGTTTATTTATTTTTGTATTTTTAAACTGTGAAATTAATGCCTATCGGCCTAAGGGCCGAAATACAATAGTTTTTTTATAATATATTTTATTCATAAAAGTAATTAAAAGCTTTTTTTTAATTAAGTAAAGTCTTACATTTATTGCATTTTTTATTTTACTATTCAGATCAGATTTTCTGTAACTGGACGTAGTGTTTGATAAAAATAAATTTTGTTGATTTAATTTCTTCGAGGTATTGTCGTTATAATAAATAAAGACATTAATGGAAGCAAAAAACAAAAAAAACAAAATTACTCGATATTTCATTAACATTAATGTGGTTTGCAGGTAACAGACGGAAAAATACTTGCAAAATGAGTAACATTTCAAAAAAAATATATATATATATATATATATATATATATATATATATATATATATATATATAAATATATATATATATGTGTGTGTGTGTGTGTATGTAAGCAAATATATGGATATCGATCCGACAGTATGAAGAAAAATATACCGAAAAACAAAAATCCTAATATGTTTATATGAGAAAATCGTTCAATCGAGCTTATCTAATATTTTGAGATCATCTTCGAATACGTTTTCACAACATCGCCCACGTGACGACGACGTGATCATATTAAAACGGAACGCTAATCTTATAAAAAATTCAGTTATCTGTTTGGATTAGTCTTGCTCTTGTGTCCATCGTCTTTTTCATGTTGAATTGAATATAGTCTAATGTTAATTATGTTTCATGAATATGTCCTGAAGATGGTCTATTAGACCGACGTTGACATTATATTAACATTAAAACACCATAATTACATATTAGGATTTTTGTTTGTTTTTCCGTATATTTTCTTCATATATATATATATATATATATATATATATATATATATATATATATATATATATATATATATGAACAACTGGTTATTTGAAGCAGATAAGAGAGACTAACAACAGACTCGCCTTTGCCGGCTATTATCCGACTAATGTTATACTGACCGACACCCTTTTGAATAACAAAACTATCTGGGTGGGTAGAGGGTCGTTATCGGCGCCAGCAGACTTCCTGGGATTGTCACTTATATATTCATTGACAACCTTCCTCGACACGACTTTACAACAAACACATTTATGAAAAACCCTGATAATAATAATAATAATAATGAATAAATTCTAGACGGATAGAGGTCTTAAGTAAAGGAATGTTTGACTTCTAGCATAGTATTGCATGCCCAGGTACAGAGTTGAAGAATGATGTTTAACGTCCGCAATCACGATGAAATTGGGCCTCGCAGAGATTAATTGATCAAATCGAAAAAGTGGGAGTGTCGGATTTAGGAAAGGAAAAAGCAAATGTTGATAAGATAGCAACAGGCCCAACAAGAATCGAATTCGCTATACAGTAGCTATAATACGATCTCCATTTATGGTGCACTGCTTTTCAGGACGCAGTCCTGGGTAAGACGATAAACTACATCCGACAGCAAGGTCTCTGATCAGAAGGTTTTGAGTAGCGTGGAACCATCTCTTAATTGATGGTGTTCCCATGTCTACCCTGACCCGGAGTGGTAGCATCTATCAGGGTCCCAGATATGGGCAAATAGTTACACCGCCCAAAATGGGTCAAAACACTATGAAAGTATAAAAATAGGTTTTAATAACAACAATATATATGGTATTAGTGTAGACGGAAGAAATTCCAATTACCAAAAATACAATTCTTAAAAGAATGCTCAATATAGAGTAGATCAAATAATATTATTCAAAACTTGAATGTCGAATATATATATATATATATATATATATATATATATATATATATATATAAGATCTCTCTCTCTCTCTCTCTCTATATATATATATATATATATATATATATATATATATATATATATATATATATATATATATATATATATATATATATATATATATATATATATATATATATATATATATATATATATATATATATATATATATATATTCAAGGTCTATATATATATATATATATATATATTCAAGGTCTATATATATATATATATATATATATATTCAAGATCATGTTTGGTTGAATAATCAAGATATATTATGTCTATTTTAAAAATTCACAACTATCAATTACATTTTTTGTCTTATCACTTCATACCTGACGATGATCTTGGATGAGATTAAAAGAAATTGGGAAAATAAAAGAAATAACCAAAACTACGGTGCCTTCCTTAATTAGTTTTGTAACAGCACTAAGAAATTGATCCGTGAATTTGAGACGATTAAAATCAAATAGACATATGTGTAGATTATTCAACCAAACATGCGTGAAGGAAGATATGCTGCACACACACACACACACAGACACACACACACACATATGCATATATATATATATATATAAACATACATACATATATATATATATATATATATATATATATATATATATATATATATATATATATATATAACATATATTGTATCAGGAACAATTTATTTCAATTCCAAACAACAAACTACATGGTTTCCTCTTTAAAGTAGTCCCCCGCCCCCAATGACCTTTTTCTTCCTTCAAGAGAGATTTTGAAAGGCAGAATAAAACTCCTCTGTTGTTACGAGGCAGGCAAAGACTATTCCAAAAATTGAGGATTTGATGTCCGGTAACTTTTCATGTAAACTCTCATAAATTTTTTATTTCCATGATCAAATATAACATAATGTCCCAAAGATATTCAATATTTACGATTACATTCTCCTAGGCCCTGATTAGATCCTTGAAAAAGTATGTGCCCGATTAGAAAATTAAAAACAAAATTTGACATACATGCAAAAAAGACATTTATCGGCTAAGTAGACTGTCTCCATTGTTTTAACAACTATCTTCCAATGTTCTACAATCTTGTATGAACTTTGTTTTTTGTTGGAAAATGTTTCTGACGTAATTTTCGTTTGACTGTACAGAGTCATTTTTTTTTCTCATTTAAATTGTTCTCTAGTGAACGGAACAAATGAAAACCATAAAGAACCAAGTCACAGTTGGGGCTGGAGTGTTTGATGTCCAATAAATCTACATATAAACTCTCATAAATGCTTTATTTTCATGTTGAGGTATGCATATATATATATATATATATATATATATATATATATATATATATATATATATATATATATATATATATAGGCATTTTTATGTTTATACATTCTTTTTATAGATATAATGTCCGAGAAATTTTCATATAAAATATTCGTCTTCCGACAGGATTCGAACCTGTACCCTATACGGAATTGTCATTTAACCGATCGAGTCACAGAGAATCGTTCGATTAGCAAGGTCGAATTTACTGCCTTTAAACTTCCATGAATCTCTCACGTACATTCATATCTGCTCAAAGCGTATCCAATTGTAAGCAAATGACGTCATACATTATGAAATGAACAAAGTCCCACAATTATTTTATGACATTTTTATGTTTATTCAGGCCGGTAAATGTTATAAATACTGTTTATTATAAAAACAGAGCATTTACTTAGATTTGTATCTATAAAACGAATATATAAACATAAAAATATCTTAAAATAATTGTCGAACTTTGTCCATTTCATAATATATCAGGGGCTACGAGGCAGGCAAAGATTTTTCTCAAAATTGAGGATTTGATGCCCAGTAAGTCTTCATGTAAACTTTCATAAATTCTTTATTTCCATGATCAAATATAACATAATGTAACAAATATTTTCAATTACTACAGCAACATAAATCACCCATCGCATTTTAGGTTTTGTCATGGAGAAATGCTTTTGAAACTTATATAATAATACGACCTTGAGCTCTAACAATTACAATACATAAAGTCCTTACCGCATAAAATAATAATACATACTTGCACGTGATAAAGTGAAAATTCTGATGTGCGCAAGTCCCATCATTACACTAAGTTCCGCATCTCTACATCTACCCAGGGTTGTAGGTAGATACTCTTGGTATTATCATATGTTTATACCACTAGGCTTATTAATAATAAATACTAATAAAAGAAAGCAAGTGTTGTGGATAAATATAGTGATGTTTGAGTATGTGAATGTAAGTGCATGTTGGGCTGGGGGGTAGAAGAACGTGCTTGTTCTCGAGGTAGTGATGGGTGTTGTATGTTTGCTGTAGAGCTCTTCA